GGAGAGGAGAGGAGAGGAGAGGAGAGGAGAGGAGAGGAGAGGAGAGGAGAGGAGAGGAGAGGGAAGAGTTGGTGTTGCTGCTCCGGCAGCTTTGGGAGAGGCGGGATGTGCCTGGCAGGCGCTCACGGAGCTCTGGCATCCCGGCCGCGTCCTTCTAGGAGAGCAGCGCTCGGGGAAATGCAGCCGCCTTGAGGGACAGCCAGCTCTAGGGACCCCCGTGGCCAAGGCCGGTGCCCCCCTGAGCACTGAAGTGTCTCCCATGGAGGTGCCGGCGGCACCTCTGATGCTGTTGGGATGGGGATGTTGGAGAGGGGGATCTGGGCTGGCTGTGCAGCCTTCCCTGTCCCCAAAGGCCGTGACCGTCTCCCRTTTCCTTCCGCTGTGCCCAGCACCGCCTACACGGCCGAGGCCACAGACTACGACGTGCGGGTGCTGCTGCGGTTCCCGCAGCGCGTGAAGAACCAGGGCACGGCGGACTTCCTGCCCAGCCGCCCGCGGCACGCCTGGGAATGGCACAGCTGTCACCAGTGAGTGGGGCCRGGGGCGCCACGGGTCCCGTCCCGCGCTGGGAGGGCTCGGGGATCAGGGCCACCCAGCCCCGCGTTTCTTTCGTGGGCAGACTCACCTAGACGTCCCCATCTCCTCTTTATGCCCATGTCCCTAACTCCCCCTTGCTGCCYTTTTAACGGCATTTTAGGTGAAAGGAAATGCCCCCTTCTCCATTTTTGTCCCTTCCTTTCTGCCACTCCAAGATTTTTCATCTCCTTGCTTTGCCTCTCTTCTTCCTCTCTATTCCAGTAACCACCAAGCTCGTGTGCCCCATGGGCTACCTCAAACACGGGCTCGTGAGGGGCCAGGGCATGTGGAGCTSCTCCCAGCTCCAACATCTTCCCAAAAACATGATGGTTGGATGGTGGGGAGACATTGTTAGAGTCCCRTGACAGGCACGGTCACCCTGACACCAACTGTCCGCCAGGCACTACCACAGCATGGACGAGTTCAGCCACTATGACCTCCTGGATGCCACCACAGGGAGGAAGGTGGCCGAGGGCCACAAGGCCAGCTTCTGCTTGGAGGACACCACCTGTGACTTTGGGAACCTGAAGCGCTACGCCTGCACGTCACACACCCAGGTGGGCTGGGGACAGCAGGGCCGGGGGAGGCCGGGAGGAGATGGACATTCCCAGAGAGAGGCTACGGAAGAACCTTCTCGCTACTGAAGCCATCCGTGGCTGACCAGCCCCATGGCTAGTCATCGCCATGATTGGTCATCTCCATGATTGATCATCTCCACAGTTGATGACCTCCATGCCTGACCATCTCCAAGGCYGACCATCTCCAGAGTGGATTGCCTCCATGGCTAATCCCCTCCAAAGTGCCAGAGATGCTCACAGGGTGCCCTGGAGCTCCTCAGCCTCCTAAGCCATGTTGCCTCTCTTCTTCCTGCAGGGCCTGAGCCCAGGATGCTACGACACCTACAACGCCGACATCGACTGCCAGTGGATCGACATAACGGATGTGCAGCCGGGAAATTACGTGCTGAAGGTGAGCGCCGCGGCTCGCTGGGCCGTCCTGGGGAGTAGGACACTGGGACCGATTTGGGGCTGCTCTGGATTCCTCTCAACCTGCTGCTTTATGACCACCCGCCTTTATTTACACGCATGCCTGAGTCAGCAGCCTAAATCCCCCTAGTTTCCCTAATCCAGGGAAAATCCCTCACCCGTTTCACAACAGCTGGTTTTATTTCTAGCCAAAGTGGGCAAAGAGGAAGGCTCACAMGTGACAGCCCCGCTGCTGCCCCGGGGCAGCTTGCATGGAGCCCAGGGAGCCCTTCCCTCCCTCTTCCCCAGAGGGGCATTTCTTCCGCGGCTGTTAATTTTGGGTCATGAATTTCTCGCCTTTCTCCCGTAGGTCCAAGTGAACCCCAAGTACATCGTCCTGGAGTCCGACTTCACCAACAACGTGGTGAGGTGCAACATCCACTACACCGGCCGCTACGTTGCCACCACAAACTGCAAGATCTCCCAGTAAGGAAGCGGCCGAGCACGTCGCTTGCTCCGTCTGGCTGCTCGAGTGCCCCCTTTGCAGCACAGAACTGCTCTCGCCCCAAGCCTTTTGGTTGCTTTTCTCCTCCCCCTTGGCTGGGGTTTCTGTGCAAACCTCAGACAAAGTTTGGGACTGGATTTGGCACGCGGCTGGGGACAGGGGGTGGTGCTTTTGTTCTGTTTCTTAATTTTTGGGTGTTTATGCTTAGTTTCCGACAGTTTCTTGTTCTCGTGGCGGAACAGAGCAAAGCTGCTTTCGATGCAAATTTTCAGCAGCAAAATCCCCTGCCACGAGAACCTCCCGCAGCCCTTAACCGATGCAAACCCCGTCCCGCCAGCGCCTCCGCACCGCCCTCCTCACCCGTCCTCGCCTCTCTCCTCCTTGCAGATCCTGACGGGAGCGGGGCTGCAGGGAAGCCCTCTGCGCCAGCCGCCCACGCTCTGCTCCGCGCCGGGGACCGCGCGCGGCGGCYGCCCCTGCGCCGCGCCGGGCTCAGCAGCGGCTCCCGCGGCCGGCGGCGCCTCCAGGCCCAAGCCAGAAGTCACTGCTTGGTGTCGAAAAAAATCCCCGTGAAACGAGAGCGACCGTTTGGAGTGTTTTTATACGTTGCTTTTCTTTAATCTCTGTTGTTTTTGTTGTTTTCTGCTTCCACGCGGAAGCCGATGATGAATCCTAGCCGGAATAAAGGAAGGGTTGTTTTGTGGCAAGCAGACCGGGATGCTGTCGGTCACGTTCAGCAGYGGAGAGCTGCGTAGTCTGAACCGTGCCCTTCTCGGGGAAGGGGGTCCCCAGCCGTGCTGCSGACCCCGTGCCATCTCCTCGAGCCAGGATTCGGGCCTTCTCCATCCCTCTCATCTCCTGCTGGATGCTGGGGAGCTCCTGGCACCGCTGCGGGGTGCTTGGCCCCAGTGCAGCGTCTGCTCCTGGCGACTGCACCGTCGCGGTGCGACGATTACTGTGGTGCCAAGCCCAGAAGGGCAGGTGCTTTCGGGAACATCCACGTCCTCGGGAGTCACCCCAAGCAAGGTGCTCACTCTGMCAGCCAGAGCTTGGCCCTTCCCGGGGCTGCCTCTGGCCGCAGCGGTGCTAGTGCAGGCCAGAGCCGAAGCTGCCAGGGGAGTTCATGTGTATTCGGCCCCCTGGGCATCTAGCCAGCTTAACGGGGGCGGGTTTGCTCCTTCTGCTCTGTTTCTAAAATGGGGAGCCCTTCACTCGACTGGAAATCTGTTTTTATCATTATTATGATTATTATTATTTTCACCAGCTTTAAAACCTGAAATCATTAAAACACGTTGCTCGTGGCGGTTTGTATTTCACCTGAGGCAGAGCCTCTCCRGGCAGCATCCTGAGCCCCGGCACCAGCTGCACGGAGCGGCAGGGCAGGAGATGCCAAAACGCAATGGGAGCGGGAGCCGGAGGGCCCGTGGTGGGTGTCCTGCTGCCGGCGGGTGCCACGGTGCCTCTTTCTTCCATGAGCTGGCAGCAGAAACAACCCCCCTTTTTTTCCCCACGGYGCTAAGGAAGGGGTGATGTGGCTGTTCACCTCGTGCTCCCCGCGGGTCCGGCGGGAGCAGCTCCCAGCACAAGGTGGGACAGAGGGCACGGCCCAGCAGCCGGGCTGGCAGCGAGGAGGGATGCTCCCGTGTCCGGAGCTCCAACCGCGGCTCCCCGCTCAGCGATAAGCGTCSGATAAGGCAGCAGCAGGAGCGGCCTTGCCCTTTGCCTCTGTGCCCTGCTCTGGCTGGCGGGGCGGTGGAAGCATCACCCACGGGCTGCCACCCTGAGCAAAGGGGCGTCGGGGCCGCAAAAACCTCCTTTCCTTCCTCACCCGCCTGGGAGGACGGCGGCTCCGGCATCCTGCGCAGCTCCCACATCCCCTGCAGAGGCCCCGGCGGCGACATGAAAACCGAGCGCCTGGGAGGCACCGCGAGAACAAGAGCCCTTCCAAAACCACTTTTTTATTTTTAAGTCTTGCTTTCCTCTCTCTCTTTTTTTTTTTTTATTTTTCAAGCGTCTGCCGCAGAGGAGAGCAGGTCAAGGCGACGCAGGGAAGGCACGCGAGGAATGTGGCAGGGGCTCAGCGCATTCCTGCCGCGCTTAACTCTTGGCGGGCGGGTTTGCAAGGACAACCTCCATCCCCGCTGGTGCCAGCGGGTGCTGGGTGCCCTCGGAGCGTCCCCAGCACCCCCATGGAGAGCCGGGCTCAGCCCTGCTCCATCAGGGAGCAGCTCAGCTCCAGCAGCGCGTGACAGGAATGGAATCAGCCCCACACCCTTTGGCTCCGCGACACCCAAGCCCGCTCATCCCCCGGAGCCAGCGCTGGGAACAAACCAGCTTGGCCGTGCTCCCTTCCGCAAACGTCCCGGTCCCCTGCTCCAGGGCTAGGGGCATCCCGGGGCCGGCTGCTGCTCCCCGAGCCCTGCTCCCCTCCTGTCCCGGCCCTGATCCCCCAGGCACCTGGATGCTTCCAAAGCCATTTCCAACAGCTCACAAGGAGCCAGGAGTCACGGAGCTGGCACCTGCCAAGGTGCCAAGCCCCAGCCTGGAGATCCATAGACGGAAAGGGAAGGACAGAGGTGCTGCAGCAGGCACTGGGAGCAGCCTTTGCTGCCGCGCTGGGAGCGCTGGTTTAACCCTTTGCATCCCAATCACCCTCCTCACTTCCCAGCCCCACGAGCTGGGATGTGCTCGGTGGGAAGTGCCCGCCGGGAAGCACCTCGGCTGCCTCCTGCTCAGCACGAGCAGCCCAAGGGAGCCGGGGAAACTGAGGCAGCTTGGCTCCCAGGGCCCTGCCTGAGGTTAGGGATGCAGGAGGCTCTTCCCAGGGTTTTAAACCAGGAGCTGTCCTGGATTTGCCCTCTGGGGGTGGCGAATTGCCCCCCCGCAGGGCTGGGTGCAGCTGCAGCAGAGCCCGTGTGCRCACGAGGGCAGCAGAGTCCAGCACCACGGTCGGTCCCCGCGGCATCCAGGGACGGGACTGGCACGGAGGCCGTACGGGCGGCCGCTGCAGAGCCCTGCCAGGCCCGTGGGGCTGCGTACGGGCGCCAGGGTCCCCGTTCGGGGTCCCTTGAGCGTGTCCTGCCCAGGCTGCTCCCAAGCCCTCCCTTGCCAGCTCCACCAAAACGCCGGCGTGTATTTCCCTTCCTTTCAGACGGGGAGAAATACRGACACGGGGTTCTCCTTTCCACGCTTTATTGTCGCGCCCCGCCCGGCCTCACGCCACGGCGGAGGAGCGGCCGCACCTCCTGCGCGCCACCACGGCGGCCAGGGCCACGAGCGCCAGCGCCACCGCTGCCGCCACGGCGAGCAGCCCCTCGCGCGCGCCGGACACCGCYGCGGCACCTGCGGAACCGAGGCAGCGCGTGAGCCGGGTGCGAGCGGGAGCCTCGGCGCGGGGCTGCCCCCCGAGCGGGACTTACCCCGTCCTCCTTCCTTCCACTCTCCTGAGGAGCCCATTGCGCCCGAGTCCGCAGTGAGGAACACGGGCCCGATGACCACGTCAGCTTCCACCTCTTGCCCTGAGAAGCAAGGAGCTGTTGGTGGCCCAGGGCTCGGTACCAGGCCTACGTGTCCCCTGGGGTGCCGTGGGCTCCTACCGCCGGCAGCGGGYGCGTCTCTCCGGAAGCGGCGGCTGGGCCATCGGTCCAGGTGGTTGAGTCTCCTGGACAGGGCCGCCGACTCACAGCCGCCAGTCTCACAGCAGCTGCAGATGTCCCTGGAGCCTTCCACCGGCACCCAGCTGCAACGGCACGGCAAGCAGCGTGAGCCGAGCAGGTAGGTCCGCTACCAACGTCCCTCCCTCTCCAGAGCTTTGTGCAGGCAAGACAAAGGTGGCCATGGGGGCCTGAAGGTACTGAATGGGAGCTGAGCACAGCAGCAGCGTGAGGGCTACAAGGGTTGCCAGTGCAGCAACTGATGGGTCCTCACTCACGTCAGCTATAGCTCACATAAAGTATTTGTGCCCTTTGGACAATGCTTGGGTTGAGGATGTCGCCAGCCCTGAGTTCACATGGTCCTGTCCCATCCTCYCTTGGGTAACTTCACATTAGTGTTGAAGTTCTCCTTTCTTGCAGCCCTATATAATGCACCAGCTACTCACATGTTCCTGGCTTTGTTGAAGGAACAGGCCTTGTTCAAGGGGTCGGGGGCCTGGTCAGCRGGGGTGACCTTCAGGTGGCAGGTGATGTAGATCTGCAGAGTGAAGCAGGAGGAGAGGGGTGAGGATCCTCCTGTGGAGCACCTTATCTGGGTTCAGCCTCACGGAGGAAGAATGAAGTCTTACCAAGTTCCTTGTGTCCCCAGCAAACCTGAACACGTCGATCCTGAACCGAATCATGTCCTCCCTGGGCCGGGGGGTTATGAAGGCAGAGCTGGTGTCATCTGACCTTCCATCTACCAGGCATCTAGAGACACAAGAGTGGAGTCAGGAGCACCCCAAGCGAGGCACCTCCCCAGCTGCCACAGCAGCCGTCGGGCTCCAGGGAGGCCCCTAGGCCTTACCCGTTGAAATCAATAATGGAGTAGTGAGGAGAGGAGTCACTSTCTGGGCTCAGGGCAGCAACGCAGCTGTCCACGAAGAGCCTCAACGGCACATGGTTCTCGGTGCTGACCTCYGCCTGGATGTTCAGGATGTCACCCAGCTGGAAGCCGGTGAAGGGCCTCTCYGCAGTCCAGTCCTCTGCAAGGCAGCAGCACGGTGGGGAATGGATGGGTGGCTCCTGCCTCTCCTCCAACCCCCCAGCGACAAGAGCCATGGCAGGCGGTGGGTCAGCAGGACGAGAGGTCCAAGGGAGCAGAGCAGGGAGCCCACAGGCACTGCTGTTTGCTCTTTAGCAGGTTGGTTGCCCATCCTCCTCCATGGGCAAGGCCCACAGCCTCCAGCTGCCTGTCTCAAGGGCCTTGTGTGCTCGATGTGCTAGGAGAGCGGAGTAGATAAGAGCTTTCCCTGCCTCGGGGTGACTTCCCACCTACCGTTCATGAGGCGCAGGGAGAACACCAGCCTCTCCTCTGCAGCCAGCGTGGAGCTGAAGGGAGCCCACGTGGGCTTGATGGCGTTGCTGCTCACATTTTCCCTCCTGGGGAAGGGAAGAGGGAAGGATGCTCATTAGGACAGAGCCCTGGGGTAGCAATTAAGGACCAGGAAGGCATGAGGACGTGTTACCCTTACCTGGGATAGATGCACTCAATGGGGATCACGGCAGGATTGGTCCGGATGATGACTGGGTTGCTGGCTGGGCTGGGGTCATAGTTGATGAGCGTGCGGTAGATGAGGGAGTCAGGAGTTACCTGGGGAGAAGCAGATGTTGAAAAGCTGGCAGTGCGGTCACTGCTGCCCCATTAGCCATCTGCTCCTGCGCCCTTTCACTGAGAGCAAGATCACTGTCCTTTGCCTTTGGTAAATGCTGTGGAAATCCAAAGAACTGGGTAGAAAGATGAATGAGAGGGACAACACCAGAGCGTTGAGATGCAGTTCCSTCCCGTGCTAGTCTTTGTTCATACTGTCCCAGTGCCCAAGTTCCCTACGGAGCTCCCGCTGATGCATCTTCCCAGAGGCCTTGGGCTTTTGCCCTGCAAAGCCTGTAGGAATAAACGGAGCAGAGCCTCTTGTGACCATCTGCAGGCGAAACTCCCTCTGTACAGGAGTGCACCGGGCTGCKCATGGCGCCCGTCCTTCAGCACGAGTATGTGATGGGTGCTGGGCTCAGGTCTTGGGTTGTCCAGGAGCAAGAGGCCAAAATTGCTAGGGGGTACATGACCTGCCAGTCCCATCTTGTCCATCCATCTCCAGGCCACGAGATGAGAAGGAAAAGGCTTTTGAAGGGCCAAACACAGGTTTGCTAGGAAGCAGCTGAGCTCTCCCTGTCTTGCAGGAGAAATGCCTGCTCATCCCTGCCCAGGAAGTTTTTTGCAGGTGCTCTGTGTCACCCAGAGCACCCCTGGCTTTGCAGGACCCAGGATCTGCTGCATGCCGGGCTCCCACACTTTGGAGAGGCCTGGGCCTGGTGGAGACCTCCGTGGAGAGCAGCACAGGAGGACGGTGGAAGGCGAGAGCTGTTCACCCTTGCTGGACCCTGCACTCATGGGGATGTGCAGGAGGAGGGGGACAGGGGATGAGGTGATCCCAACCGGGATGAGGTGCTGGAACCCGGAGCTGCTTCAGRAGCTCCTGCCCAGTTTGAAGGGAAAGCAGCTGTGCCCGGGGGAAGGGGAGAATCGGGGAGGAAACACGGGGGGACCTGCAGCACAGTTACCTCCACCAGTGTCACCTAATCACAACCTCCCTTGGGCTGACRCAGGGAAAGCATCCCAATGCTGAAGAGCCCACAATCATCTTCTCTCCCAAGGCCTCCTTTGGCCCCACAGCCAAGACATGAAGTGAGGTAGACACCTGGATTCACCCCAGAAATGAGGGATCTCCCAAGCCAACAGCCATAGAGCCCCAACCTCCCAGCCCATCCAAAGCAGAGGAGAGCAGCTCAGCAAGTCCTCAAGCAGGAGCRGAGGAACCACGAGGGTGCCTCGGTGGCGGGCCGAGTGCAGGGCTGAGCGGCTCCTTACCTGCACGATGCTGCCGCACTCGTGGAGGCCGGCGGCGAAGGTGACGGTGTTGAGCGCGGTGTTGAGCGAGCTGTGCTTGCAGGCGGCCGGGCCCAGCGTCAGGTCCGCCACGTTGATGAGGCGCCCGGTGCCGAAGAGGTCCCGGTGCACGGTGACCACCATCTGCGCCTCCTGGCACTGCACGGCCACGGGCCGCGTGCYGGAGACGGCCGGCACCTGCGCCTCGTCCGAGCGCGACCCGGCGCGGGGGTCCACGCGCCACCGGTGGCCGGCCACCTCGCCCCACGAGAAGTCCCAGGGCGTGTAGGCGGCCACGCGGCCCAGCGCCGCACAGAGCAGAGCCAGCGCCAGGCTGCCCCGGGGACACATCCTGCCCGTGCCCGCCGAGCTCTGGGGCAAGGGGCCGCTCCAGGAACCTTTATATGCCCTGTGTGGAGCCGTCCGCCCCCGGCTCCGAGGGCGGCGGGGACCAATGACACCCAAAGGCCGTCCCTCCGYGGTCAGCGCGGTTCCGGGGTGCCCGAGCCCCCCGCGCGGGGCTGCCCAAGGAGAGGGAAAACATCCCYGGCGGCCTCTTGCGCCACGTTGTTTATAAAACTCAGGCGAAGCTGGAGACGGGGAGACGGGTACAGCGTGACTTGTTTAGGTTGCGCGGGGCGATAAGGGGCTTCTCAAGGCTCCCYGGGGAGGGGAGGCAGCGGCAGGGCTTGGGGGGGCTGCCCCGCAGCGCCACCCCCGGGTGCTTCTGCGTCCTCCCCGCCGCCCGCTCCCGGCACACGGGTTTTCCGCTCTTTCCCAATCGCCTGCTCCTTGTGCTGAGGGAGACGGAGCCCGGCCAGCCCTGYCGTGGTGGCTCTGTGTGACCGCACGGTCCCGACGTGGGACACACGGTCAGCACTGACCTGAGCTGCCACCACGGACACGAGTGCGGCCGGCCTCAGCCGCGCCGATACGGCCTCATCCTCCGTCCCGGCGTGGCCGACAGTGAGGTCACGAGTGAGGAGAGCTGCCACACAGCTGGATTTTGTGTTAATCTCTGCTGCTCTTCCCCATCCCTTTGGGTAGTGTTTCTTTTGGTGTCCTCAAGGAGACRGGACCAACAGCGAACACGGAGCCGGGAGAGCTGCTCCCCGCGCCACGCTTCTCCCCTCTCTCCTTCCCCAAGGGACAGTACCRCCTTGTYGAGTCCACTCCTGTGGCCGGAGTGRGGAGGCGCGYGGACCAAAGCCACAGCTATCAGGAGAAGGAGCAAGAGAAGCTGCTATAAAGAAAAGCTGTGCGTTTTTAGGCCCCTGCTTGAGTCAGTCCCTTCTGAGTGTCCTTAGCTGCAGTCCCCTTAGCTGCAGGCCAAAGGAGAGGCTGTTGCAGTGCACGGACCCTGATCTGCTCCCAACCACCCGCCCCAGCAGTGCCCAGCCATGCACATCTGCGACTCCTCCTCTTCTCCTCGGGAAGTCCCTGGCATGTTCTAGGCAGAAGAAAGCCTCTGGTTTGGATGGYGGAGATGGAGCAAGGAAACCGCAGGCTCATGATGAAAAACCTGCCTCCGCTCCCTGGTTTGTTACCCCTCGCCCCGTCTTTGCGGGGTGGCTACCACCCACTGCCAGTCCCACRTCAGCTGGACAGCGTGTCCAAACACGTTTGTCCRAACAAGCCAASTCAAGCACACRGGCTGCTTCAGTCAGCCTCTTCTCYGCAGAAGTCCCACCAGTTTTGGAGCTGGAGACRGCTGGTGCCTGATGCAATGTCCCCAAAGTGCCCGTGCAAAGACCCCACATTCACACCGTGTTGCAGGTGAGCCACAAGCCTTTGCAAAACCTTGGGCCTTTCCTGCTGGCTTTTCCCGGTACGGAACAGATCCCTCTCCATGCTGCTGTCAGCACAGCCAGGGCTTTGCCTTCATGTTTAAAATACCTTGAGATTGGCGGTTGCGTAGAAATACCAGGGATTCCAGCATGTGGGCAGGGAGCCGAACACTGTGCGTCAGGGAGCCTCTGTCTCGGGAGCGTATTTGGCAAACACATTTGCGCTGACAGCAGATAACGTGAGCAACTGATGCTGAATCAGTAAATAAACATCTGCCCCCCTTCCCCAATGAGCAAGAGGAAAGCATGACAGTGAAGGCAGCTAACTTGGCCATGTCCTTGACTCGCAAGGACCAGAGGAGCTTGCTGAGCTCACCCCAGCTGGGCTCTCTTGCAGCTACTGCTGSGGAGCCACAGCTCAGGTGCCAGCCCCAGAGTTATAGGTTAGGGGGTACCAGGCTGGAGGGAGGCCTTCATCCCTAGGAGAAAAACGACTCTTTGATGGATCACCTCGTATTTACAAGGCTAAAATTAGCACAGGTGAACCTCACGCGGAAGAACGTGCCAAGGCTCAGAGCAGATACTTGTCTACGAGACAGGGAATTTCTGCTCCCAGAGCAGCTCTTGCCAGGTCTCCCACGTGCCCATCTGCCTCTTGATCATTCCAACCATAACATGAGGTTGGCCATGGAGGAGCACAGCTGTGGAAGAGCGCAGGCACATGGTGGGCACAAGGAGGAACAGCCRTCTCCAGCCTGGCTGCATGGGCAGAGGACCTCACAGGTGAGTGGTGGGGTCCTCTTAAGAGCGTGATGAATTTAGCAGCWGCAAAGCACACCACAAAGGGTGGCTTTGAAAGACGAGAAAGAAGTGGGCTCTGCCAGAGCCCACAATTTGGGCAAGAGGAAGAGCGAGGGACAGCTGGAGGGATGACCAAGAAGAGCAGGGAGAGCCTGAAACCATGGTTTATGTGGCTCAGTGTGCTCTGCTCAGTGCTAAACTGTGCTCTTTAGCCCCAGGGATGCTCCAGCCTCAGGGCTCTTCGGCTGAAGTGCAACTCTCTCCTCATGCTGGTGGAGGTGCTAAGAGAGGGGTGCAAGAACTTCCCCCACTTAATGCTGCTCTGCTGAGCAAAGGAGCAAGTTTCACAGGAGCAGGAAGAMTAAAATAAACGCAAGCCAAGCAATAATGGCTAAAGCCCCTTTCGTAGAGGGAGCAGGGGTAGAAATTCCAGTCCCTACACCAAGGACTGTTTATACGTTTTACCCAAGGCTTGTTACGTGTAAACACGTATAAACAGTCCTTGGGGCAGGGACTGGAATTCCTGCCTCCATCCATCCCAGGAAGAGCCCTATCCGCTCGGCCTCATGCTGGCTGCTATACTCACTTCCTCGACCAGCAAATCTCAGTTTTTCTTTTTAAAAAAAGCTGCTACAGAATTAGCTCTTAAGTGCAGGAAGGCCCCTGTGAGATTAGCTTTTGGTGAAGAGAGTGTAGGAGCCACTTCCTCTTGCCCAAGACAGGCCAGAGTCTGAGACAAGTGGCCCAAATTCCCCATTCCAGTGACAGATTAAACTCTGCTTCTTCCTAGTCTCATGTAGGAGAAAAGGGTTCAAAAAGTTATTGGGCTCTGCTGAGTTACTGAAGAAATTTGAAGAGGGCATAAGCTTGACAGGAGAAAGTCTAAAGCAAATTCTGTCTCTTTGCCCAGGGAAATTTTTGAAAGGTTTTTTTTTTTGAAATGAGATCTCCATTTACAGCAGGAAAAAGAGTGGTACACATTCTAGAAACATGGTCTTCCTCCCCATCTCCCAAAGGCTTCAAGGTAACCTAAAGGAGAAAAACCTCACTTGAAGTGCTCCCACTGTAAGTCCTTGCCCTMTTGTCACAAGGGAACTGAAGCAGTTTTCCTTAAGGATGCAATTACAGTCTTGAGCACTGCTATGAGACWGGCTGCTTGCCTTGTTTAAGGAACAAGCCTACATATGCTCAAAGTTTTACAAAATCCTGAGCTCCCTCCAGCTTTAAACGCCTTCCACTTCAGCAGAAGTGAATATTTACCAGTACAGAGCAAACCCAGCTGGCTCCAGAGGCAGGCAAAGTGTGCTAAGGCTAAATGCAATAGCGTGATTCTAAGAAAAAGAACACATGCAGCGGTCACAAGCCAGGGGCTCCCAGTTCCTCCAACAGGTTGCACAAAATTCTGCTCAAGGTAGGACTTCAGGTGAGTACTGAGACCCAAATGAGATTCAGGGAAGCAGAAGGGCACAGACCATTCAAGTTAAYATCAGAATCCAGGTCACTCAGGCCCCAGCAGAGCTCTCCACCCAACCAAAAGCATCTCAGTCCTTCAGGTTATTCTTTTTATTATTATAATTATTATTGGACAATCTTTAAAAGTTGAAAACAGTGATTTAAATGGGGTTGCTGGATCTCCGGCAGATAGTCAGAGCTCCTAGAGCAGCAAGGATCAGAACGACAAGACCAGCGACTGCAACCAGTCCCAACATCATCCAGAAGGAAATTTTTGGATCTGGAAAAGCAAGGAGGTGATTATGGCCAGCGCTGGGACCRGCTGTTGATACTACCCCTTTCCTGAGCCCACCCTACCTTGGGAAGGCATCCTCAGGACCGAGTGATCCTGCCAGCTACGGATGAGGAGGGGCCCAACCACAACATCTGCTTCTTGCAAAGGATCTAAGAAAGGAACACATGAGCATATAGACTCATAAAAACCATCTGCTCTCCCAAGGCATGGATTAGCATTGAGGAGCCAACAGGTCTGGTCAAGTTGCTGTTGTGGTGGCCACATATAGGAAGCAGGCATATAAGAATCATATAAGACCGCCTACCAGGCTGGGAGGACCATTCTCTCCTGAAGCGTCCTCCTTGCCTCTGGGAAGCACCACGAAGCCTCCTGGAGYGTGCAGCTGAGCCACAATTCCTCACCTCACAGCAGGAGCAGATATCCCCAGTGCCTTCTACAGGAGCCCAGCTGGAAGAGAGCCTGGTGACCAACCTGGCATGCTGTAGGAACCCCTCCCATGCCCTTCAAATCTCCTAAGAGGAGCCCCTACTCTCCCCTGCTACCCCCATTCAGAGCAAATGGCCAAATCCAGGTTCCTGGACAGTGGCATCCCAGATGAGACACCCAATGTCTTCACCCTTGGGCGAGTTACTACTGCAGCTACTCACAGGCTTCTGGCTTTGTCAAAGGAGCAAGCCTTGTTCAGAGGGTCTGGAGCTTGGTCAGCCAGGGTGACCTTCAGGTGGCAGACAATATAGATCTGGGAACAACAGGCAGGTTAGGGGTATTAAGCTGTCATTTGCCTTTCTGGCCCATAGCTGACCCTCAAGCAGCCCATGCATGAGTTCAGTCTCTAGCAGTCCCATCACCTCCCCAGGTTAGCTTATTCCCTCCAGCTTCTTTCAAGAAGCTTGGAATTCCAGTAGCCAAGTGCTATTAGAACTAGTCGAGAGGGGAGAGTGCAGTACTTGTCTTGACCAGTATCAAGTTTCCAAGCAGCAGCCTTGGATCAGAGGGTCAAGAGCCAGAAGGAGCAATGAAAAGGGACTTCATTCACGTTTAGCTACGAGGCAGTTACCTAGAATTACCTTTCCAGGGCAAACCCTCATTTATTTTGTCTAGGGTTTGAAGTCACATCCCTGTCCAGCCAAGGAGAGATAGTTTGCTTTGAGGGGGGATTTACCAGGTTACTGGAGTTTCCTGTGAACTTGAATGCATCTACCACAAACTGAAGCACATCTTGCCTGGGTCTTGGGGAGATAAAAGTTGAGGTGGCATCATCCAGCTGCCCATCAACCAGGCATCTAGACACAAGTGACAGCCATCAGTCTTCTGATACTGTAGACAGCCATAACCAGCACAAAGAAGCATCTCCAAGTAAAGGGACAGCTGGTTCTTACCCACTAAAGTCAATGAAAGAATACTGAGGAAAGGAGTTCCTGTCTGGGCTTGGGGTAGCCACACAGCTGTCCACAAAGAGCCTGAGAGGGGCATGGTTCTCTGCATCAACACCAGCTTGGAAGTGGAGGACCTCTCCCAGCTGAAACACATTGGAGGGTCTCTCCGCACCCCAGTCATCTGCAAAGGAAAAGGTCACCGTGAGCTCCAGAAAGAGAGACCCTTGTGCCTCACTGCCTCCATTTGAGGGAAGTTCTAACAGGCATGAGGCCTAGCAGCTGCCCACATGGCAAACAAGTGGACCTAAACAGGCTAAAATACCCACTAATCCAGGAGGTGATGATACACAAGTTCCCAAGAGATACAGCAACACAAGCACAAGCTGTGCTATTGAACAGAAGCATAGCTCTCTAGGAGAGGAGACACGAGCCCTCGGGTGCTGGGCCATCAGTCACTCCTTCCCCACTCCACACTCACCATCCATGAGGTGCAGGGAAAAGGCCAGTCTTTCCTCCGAGGAGAGAGTGGAGTAGAACGGCACCCACGTGGGCTTGATGGCATTGCTGCTCACGTTCTCCCTCCTGAAGAGAGAGGCCCTTGGTTAAAGGCTCTGGGGTGGCAGGTCAGCTGGAGGGACAGCTCAGCCTCACTTGAGGAGGACTCACCTTGGATAGTGGCACTCAATGGGAACCACAGCAGCGCTGGTGCGGATGATGAGCGGGTTGCCAGCAGGGGCTGGGTTGTAGTTTAGGACTGTACTGTAGACCAGCGTATCGGGGGTCAGCTGGGGGGAAGACACACGAGCTGCATTATCACTTAACTAGAAGGCCTGCTCCTTTGTGAGCCTCCCCTAGCAGCGTCCCAATCAGTATTTAGAAGGCCAATGAGTTTCCCGGAGTAACGCCAGCATTGCGGGATGGAAGAAAAGGTCAGCAAGATGAGATCAAGTGAGCAGGGTTGGGCCAGCCTGAATGGAGTCCCACAGCACTAGTGGGAGGAAGCACCATGAGATCTCCCCCCAGGACAGCTCTAGGGGAAAACACCGAGGCCCAGGCCGAGACCCAGCTCCCCAYGCCCAGGCTCCAGCCTTACCCTGAGGGTGCTGCCGCACTCGTGCAGCCCGGCCACGAAGGTCACGGCGCTGTCGGTGGCGCTCSCRGCCGCGCAGGCGGCCGGGCCCAGGCTCAGCTCCGCAGCCCTCACCAGGCGCCCCGTGCCAAAGAGGTCCCTGTGCACYGTGACCACCAGCTGGGCCTCCTGGCACCGCACGGTCACCGGGTGCTGCGGGGAYGCGGCCTGGAGCTGAGAAACATCCACCCAAGCCCAGGGGGAGGCCTGGGCCAAGGCACGGGACCGCCCGGAGGAAAAGCCCCCTCCATAGCGCTGCGTATCCAGCTCCCCTCTAAAGAAACCCCAGGGGTTGTAAGAAACAACCCCCCCAAGAATCCAGCAAAAGGCAGCAAATCCCAGGCTGCTTCCAGGCCTCATCCTGCCTACCAGGGTCCAGCACAAGGAGAAGCTCCTGCCTGGACACCTTTTGTAGGCAGCAGCTCCCATCAGCCCCTCCCAGCCCAGGTGATGCCCATTGCCCACATCAGCAGGGAAGTCACCGCAGCTGAGAGCACCCTGGTCCTCGCAGCCCAGAAATCACCCATGATGGAGCTCTAATGAGGTGCTGGAAAACACAGTATTAAAGATATCAGTGGAGTTAAGTGGGGGAGCAATGCAGGCTGCTGCCCCGCTACGTTCAGCCCTTTTCCCCCCTTCCCAACAGTGATGGCTCCAGAGTGATGGCCACGCTGTGCTCTGTGCCTGCCGTGGTTCCATGTATGTCGCTCCAGATCAAACTGAAACGCAGCTGGTCTTGGCCTAGGCAGGAGATGCCTTCTGCTCTCTCCACTAGATCTCAGACCACTCTACAAAGGGTCTTTAGTGGTGTCACCACCAGTTTGCAGCAGGGGAAACCAGTGTCCAGAGAAGCAGGGTGCAAGCAGGTTCCTGCAGTGAGGAAGCAACACACGGAGATCATTCAGTCCAGCTGGTGCTAACATTTAGATGAAATCAGTGCTATAGAAACGGCATTCTTAATGGCAAGTTCTCATCCTTTGCTCCGTGTTTTCAAGTGGGAGAAAGGAGAGGGGGAAGCGTGGGAGGGAAATGTGTGTGTGTGATTGGCGGATAGTGATCATAGACTCTTCCGTACCTAGCCGTGGTCTCCACAGGGTGGCACTAGCTGTTCCTTGCATGCTTCCCGGTGCATCTCCATGCTTTTAATGACAGGGAGAAAAAGGCACAAGCAGCCAGTTAACCATTTGCGGACAGATTTGCACCAGCAGCTTCCAGGGCAGGACTGGAGGAGGACAACTGGTGTTGGAAATGACCCTTACTAGAAATAATGTCCAGAGCCAACAAAAGGAGAGTGGCTTGTGCCTCTTTGCAGGAGTCAGCGCCCCGGTCACATCAGAGCTGTGGCAGGAGCAGCAGAGGTCCCCAGGTGTCCTCAAGGGCTCTGGGAGGTCCCTCCCTTTTTGGCATCCACTGGTCCCCCCTGCATTCCCAAGAAGGAGCAGGAGCTGGGAGATGTGCCCCACGAGCACGGCRTGCTGCTGAGTCACCCTGCAAGCTGCACCGGGCCTCTTTGGAGGAAAAAAGAACAGCCTGCGGGGTTGAAGTGACCCCCCGGGATGCCCATGGCTTTGAACAGCACTCCCAGATGGGAATCTTGGGACACACGGGGAGAACGTGTGTCCTGCTCCCGCCGCTGGGTGAAGGTTGCTGGGTTCATTGCTTCCCTCCCACACGCAGGTCACTTTGGGAAGATTTGCAGCAAGCCTTGATCTGGGGACAACTGCGGACCCTGCATCCCATGTCTCCTTGTTGCGAGGCTTTCCCCAAATCCCCTTCGTGCCCTTGCTTGCAACACGCTTTCCTCCAKCACCCAGCACCCTAGCGACCTCCCYGTACAAGCCATGTCCAGGATGTGGCAYGGCTGGACATTTAAGCTCTTCCAGACTCTTTATTCAGGCTGTTTTTACAGCCCMCGGTGGCTATTACGGGAATGGAGAGCAAAAGCAAATTATTAGCAGTGCACATCAAAATAAGCAAATGATTTATTTCTTCTGCATCTGGAAGCAGGCGCAGGCCCTGCAGAAAGAGCAGCAAGCAGTCCCTGCCCGAGCGATTCCTGGCTATCCTTGAGTTTGAAAAGCGGGAGGAGAGGCAGGAAAACAGTATCATAAAAACAATGCACTTGCTTAGGAGGTTCAAATCTCAGGCTAGGTGGCTGCAAAGCGACGTCCCAAGCCCCAAAGCAGCAGAGGCTCTGTGGCAGGATGACCCGTAAGAAGCACCATCCGCCCCCAGAAATCGTGGCGAGATCTCTTCCTATATTTGGCTTGAACCATCCAGAGAAGAAACTAAGGCACTATGAAACTAAGAAACTAAGACACAGGGTGTCAAGATTAGGGCAAAGTCAGAATATGTCCCAGCCAACCTAGTCCCCAGCTCTTAACCCTCATATAAGTGTTTASATGAGAGAGGGCAGTAGGAGACTGTCATATATCAGAATCAGACCCATTTCTCCAGGCAGGAACAGGGAGGAAATCTTGAATGCAAAACTACGGATGCGAGCAGTAAATTCTCTGCAGGAGTTATCCCTGCAGATGAGAAACAGGGCCTTGCTCTGGACAGCCACAGCCACCTCTCAACAGTTTTTCTCAGTCTTTACTCTTCTCAGCAAATCACTGTCTGCAGGGTTTGTCTGGCATTCAACCGACTTCAGCAGGCGCTGGAAGTAGGCCTTGCTCTTGCTCAGGTTTCGGACCTTCTTCTCGGAGCTGTGCCGTTTAGCATTGACGAGACGACACACGTTCTGGAGCCCCTTGATGGGGTCGAGCTTGTAGATGGAGATGAGCTGAGTGAGGCCCACGCTGTGATTGGCCAGTGTCTGGGCCGATGGCTTGGTGAGCAGTTTCTCAGCCAGCAAGGGCTCCAGAGAGATGAAGCACTCCAGGCTGACATAGGGGAAGATCAGTCTGGGTTCCTTCATCGGGACGATTCCCAGGACCTCGCACAGTGACTGCATAATCTTCGTGTTCTCAGTGAGGTTGCACTCAGTGAGCTGTAGAGGGAGATAGATGTTGGCCAACGCCTTCAGCTTGTAATTGTCCCTTCCAGGGACCTTCTGTTTAATCAGAGGCAAAATGTCTAGGAAACCATATACAGCACTGCCAAATTCACGCTCCTTGTCCACAACAGCCAGGGCTTTCAAGAGGGCGGGGAAGGGGAGCGACCAGAGTCCATATCCGCCCAGGATGGGCCTTTTGACTGTCTTGAGGTGGAAAACGAGACTCTTCAAGCCAGGCTGACAAACATATTTTTTCTCTGTTGTGGTGAATGAACATTCTTCTGGACGAATTATGATTTGAAAAGTTTTCTCTTTGTCTACCACCACCAACTGAATGAGCCCGCTTTCTGAAGAAGATGAGGGGAAAGAGAAAGAGGATGGGATTAGTTTCTTAGCACTAAACTAGAAGATCGACTGAAGGCTTTCACCAGGAGGTAGATTTATTATATCTTCTACTTCTGTCCTCCCACAGTCAGTCACACCCTCAGCCTCCATCACTTAATAGCCTTCAGTAATATTCCTCCCATGCCACTTAGCACCYCCTGCACTGGAATCATTCCCACCCCAACAAGCACATGGGAGCTTGTGCTGCTGCCCAAGGGTGGACTAAGGAGGGTCTTGAAAAATCCACCTTGAACAAAAGACATTGGCCCATGAGAAAGAGAGCTTGGGGGCTTATTCCATCATGTGCAAAATGCAACAGCCCAAGGGCCACTCAGCAACTGGCYGAGCAATTTCACAGAAATCTCCCCACAGCCCTTTAGGCATCATGTTCTTCTAGCCTTCCAGCCATCCAGAAACTCTTAGGCAAGGGCTCTTGGGGCCTCAAGAGAAAGACCTCTCCCTTACAAATCCAAAGTGGTGGTGGAAGCATCTGGACATCACGAAAGGGCCTAGTCAGATGTGGGGATCTGAGCCTGCTGCAATACAGGATGCCTTTTGCTAGTGGCACTTTAGATTAATACTTAGGATCTTACTGGAAATCTTCACATCAAAGAACAGCAGGGATCCTTGTCTTGAGTCAAGYGTTTTCTGGTTGATGATGGCAATGCCCAGAGGGTCTTTGTTGATGCTCTCATCGGGCATGCAGTTGGATTCTTCTAGCAGAGTGGAGTCCTGGAAGAGGAAACATTTTGTACAGGAAGGGTCAGAGTGGCAGCTCTGGGAACTCATGTTCTGGAGGGCTAGCAGGACTCTTTAAGGAGAGCACTACTGAAGTGCCAGCTGAGCAGGCTCATGGAGATGAAAGGGGTTAGAGATGAAGGAYGGCCCCCTCGGTTGACCCTTTACCATTTGCCAGTAACAGCTCAACTTCTGCCCTAGCAGCAAAAGCAACGTGTGCCCTGGGAGGCCATGAATGGAACTGGATGCAGCGGGAACACTGCACGGATGCAGTAGAGACAGGCCTGAAAAATCACAGAATCACAGAATATTTAAGGTTGGAAGGGACCTCTACAGATCATCTAGTCCAACCTTCCTGCTCAAGCAGGCACACCTACAGCATGTGGCACAGGGTGGCATCCAGGCGGGTTTGGAAGACCTCCAGAGAAGGAGACTCCACAACCTCCCTGGGCAGCCTGTTCCACTGCTCTGTCACCCTAACAGTAAAGAAGTTCCTCCTCACCTGGAGACGGAACTTCCTGTGCTTCAGCTTGTGGCCATTACCCCTCGTCCTRTCGCTGGCCACCAGTGARAACAGCYTGTCCCCTTCCTCCCTGCATTCTCCCTTCCTGAACTTATACATATTAATCATATCCCCTCTGAGCCKTCTCTTCTCCAGAGAAAACAGGCCCAGCTCACTCAGCCTCTCYTCRTACGRGAGATGTTCCATTCCCTTAATCATCCTGGTTGCCCTTCTCTGGACCCTCTCAAGAAGCTCCACGTCCCTCYTATACTGGGGTGCCCAGAACTGAACACASTACTCCAGGTGCGGCCTCACCAGAGCTGAGTAGAGGGGCAGAATCACCTCCCTYGACCTGCTGGCAACACTCCTCCTGATGCAGGCCAGGATSCCATTGGCCTTCTTGGCCACGAGGGCACACTGCTCACTCATGGTTAACTTGGTGTCAACCAGGACTCCCAGGTCCCTCTCCGTGGAGCTGCTTTCTAGCAGGTCGACCCCTAATCCCAGCTGGCGTCGGGAACTGCATCGTTTCAATCCATGCACCTCCTCAGGTGATGTCTGAACACAACCCAGCATGGGCCAGAGACTGCTCACAATAGGCAGCATAGGGCAAGGGGGAAGAGATTATCCGTGAAGACATAAGCCAAGCTACTCATTCTTGCCCCCAGCCTTGGCTGTGTTATTGTTTCTGTATTTGACACGGTAAAATGGAGCTCGCAGCACTCACCAACGATTCGCTATCACTGCTGTCCTCTTCACCACTGCTGATGCCGAGAATATCATTATCTGCCAAGGCAGAGAAAAGTTATCATTTTTCAGATGCACCTGTGGGTCAGTCTACCAGTACGTTCTGGGTGCGAGGGTCTGATGACCCCTGCAATCTGCATCACTAGATGTGCTGAGATGGCTCTGGATGACCAGCAGTGGGGACGGGGAACAAGTAGGCCCCTGCCCAGAAAAGRATTGATCCCATCCAAGTCACTGAAATGCAGTATACACTAGATGAGATCTTCTGAGTGAAGCCAGATTCCCYAGCAATCTCTGCTGAGCATTTTGTCATTCAAGATGATATGCTGGGCAGCAACTATCCTGTAAAATTTATCTATGGGGATGCTGCTCACCAGCCTGCTTTGATGCTTTCCCCTGGAAAATAAACCCATGACTTCATTGCTTCAGAAAAGAAGAGCAAGAAAGCACTGCCAAGCCCGACCAAATGCTGCTTACCTGACTCATGCAGCCCATCGCTGCAATTATCCATGGCATCCAGCAAGCTATCGTCCCCGGTGCTGTGAGTCACAGCGGGCGCTTGATAGCTGGTTCCAGGCTGATCCAGGTTGCTTTGCTTCTGTTGAATGTCTTTGCCTTCCAGCTTCATCACCTTCACTTGTGGTGGCAAGACATCTGCAGTCTGAGCATTTCTCTTCTTCGCTGGAGTGGATGAARCTGCAACCTGACCATGTGAAACAGAGCCTGTGAGAGCAGTCCTGTGTGGGCTGCCTATATATGAGCTTGGAGAGTGCTTAGAGAGGTAGTGACAGGGCCCTGGGACCCCCTGGTCTACTTGAGCCTGTCTCCACCGCGACCGTCTCCATGGTCAGGGAGCAAACCCAAGGGAGGTAGCATGCTGCAGGAGGGCACCTTACTTGGGTGAGCCAAGAACTCCAATAGCAAACAGCAAAATATTGTTTGCTTCCCAAGATACCAGTCTTGGGAAGGAGATAAGATGGGGGCAGAACATGGGATGCCTGTCCTGGGGAGGTGTAATGATGATGATGGTAGTGAAGGGAGGTAAGAGGCGTGGTTTGGAGATGGAGAGCTGGCTGGGCGAAGGGGAAGTTTGTTCTTCCTACAATAACGTAGCGCTGTCAGTGCCCCAGCCTATTCTGGTTGTCCTCCAGCTGCTTTTCCACACTGGTTTGCAGTCTGCCCAAAGCAAGTACTGTTTACCCACATGGTCTCTTCCACTCAAGGGTCACTTGAGTGATCAAACACCACTTTCTTCTTTCTGGCATGAAGCCTCTCCTGGCCCTGGCTCTCACAGGCCGTGGTCATTCCAACCATCCTGGACAAGTCACCTTTGCTTAAGGACACAGGCTCGGGAGCTGGTTCTGTAGACAGAACTAGAGAACTAGAGAACTAGAGACAGCCCAGAACAAGGGAAGGAGGTGCAGTAGTCAGCCAAAAGAGCCTGGGATCTCACACAGAGCTCAGATGACCCCYTTCGGAATAAAACACGTGAGGATGAACCTGGACAGCAGCAACCAAGCCCACTCTGGTCAGGCAAAGGACATTTTTCCTGCAAGGGCTGCAAGCTAGCCTTGAATTTTTGCCAGATAATCCTGTAATACAACATTTCCAGGGAAAAACAAGTAGAAGCCAAGTCTCACCGGGTGGAGGTTTTCTCTGGCTTGAGCAGAGGCAGCTCCTGAAAGAAGAAAAATATGAGGAGTTGAGAAGAGGCAGCRACAGAGTTAGAGACACCTGAGAGCCCCAAGTGCCAGCCTTGCTACAGCACTTTGAAAGAGCTGACATCAAAGTGCTCCGCAGAAGATGTCGATGTTCACACGATGAGAGAAACTGAGGCACGGCCTCACACAGCAGGATCTCATGCAAGCAGAACTGCACAGATAGGCAGCGGGTGAAGCAAGGTCTCTGACATGCCAGCRTGCATCATAGCAGCAGCCGTTCATAGGCTAGAGGCAGTGCTCAGAGCGGCACAGTTGCGGTATCCTGCCTCAGCCCTGCATGAGGAGCACAGTACCATCTGGGGAGCTCCCACCCCAACCACATTCCCTGGACAGCCCTTGCAGCTTGTCCCCAGAACACACCAAGCTCCCTCCAGGAGATCAACCTTGGTCCCTTATGGGACTTTCTGTGACCCACAACCCTGCCCTGGGGAGCTCAGTGGTAGAAACCCATAGTAGGCCAAGGAAGGAAGTGATCCTGAAAGAAGCAGGGGAGTGGAGCAGAAGACCTCTCACAGCACTTTCCTCTCCATCCTTTTCTCTCTCTTTTTCTCCCTGTTGCTAGACACAATACTCATCTGGAGTATTATGTCCAGCTCTGGGCTCCCCAGAACAAGAGGGAYGTGGAGCTGCTGGAGAGAKTCCAGYGCAGGGCTACAGGATGATCAGGGGCCTGGAACATCTGCCCTGTGAGCAAAGGCTGAGAGAGCTGGGTCTGTTCAGCCTGGAGAAGAGAAGGCTGAGGGGGGACCTGATCAGTGTCTAGAAATACCTCAAAAGAGGCAGTGATGAGGACGGGGCGGCTTCTTTTCAGTGGTGGCAGCGATAGAACTAGAGGAAACGGCCACAAACTGAAGCATCAAAAGTCCCACAGAAACATAAGGAAAAAATTCTCAACAGTGAGAGTGACAGAGCCCTGGAACAGAGCCCTGGGACAGGAACCCCAGAGAGGTTGTGGGRTCTCCTTCTCTGGGGATCTCCCCAACCCGCTTGGACAAAATCCTGTGCCACATCTCTCTAGAGGTCCCTTCCAACCTTGAGTATTCTMTGATTCCATGATTCTAGAAGGATGCTACCACAAGCTGCCCAAGCCAAGTCCTCTACTCTCCCCTGCTCTGCTGACACACCAGTAACCCGCTTCTCTCTCCACCTATCAAGCACGCCAAGGCCTTCACCACTGTTAGACCCCCAGCACCTCTTGCACAGCGCTGTGGCTGAAAAGCTGTGGAAACCCTCAGCCAAACACTGCATCAGCCACAGACCACTTGCCAGCCCTGCTGCGACTTGTCCCCACAAGAGCAAGGGGTAGCAGGTGCTTGAACAGTGATGAGAACAGCCGTGCCATCCTAGACCTTGGGAGAAGGAAAGGGAGTTTGCCCCTGAGCAAAGGCAGGAGTTGCCCATCCACTAAGAAGCCACATGAAAGGAGACTTGAAACAGGCCAAAGCAGGGATTAAAGCCTTCCCCTCAGCCTCTATCCCCTGCGGTTGAGGTTGTCCTCACCTGTATGCCCAGTCACACGCTCCACCAGSGCCTGCAGCCGGGCCCAGCACTCAGCAAAGTGCCTGTCAGGCTGCGCSAGGCCGCCGGCCGCCGAGGGCTGCAGCCTCTGCAGCTCCTCCAGCGACGCCTTGATGAAGGGCTGCATGTCCATGACCTCCTGCTCCGAGCCGTAGAGCYTCATCTTCTGCACCAGCCGCTCGCTGGCCTGCATGCGCCGCAGCACGTTGTCCAGGTGCTGCAGCTCCCCGGCCAGCACGCGGCAGCCCTGCTCCCACCGCGTCTCCACCAGCGTCAGCAGCATCTCTTCCTCGCGCCGCAGCAGATCCACGAGCTGCTCCACACACTGCCGGATGTCCTCCCGTGTCTTGCTCCTCACCTGCTCCAGGCAGGCCGCCTTGGCCTGCAGGGCCTTGTGGGCGACCTCGAAGCTGCCTCTCTTCTCCTTGAGGTTCTGGCTGAGGGCGGCCAGCTTGTCCTGCCGCTGCTGGATCTCCAAGCTGATGTCGCAGTGCTGGCCCGCGTGCTTGCTGTCGAGCAATGTGCACACGCAGCACATGCCCTTGCAGCACTTCTTGCAGTAGATGCTGTCGGGCCAAGCACAGGCAGGGATTGAGACCACACACTCTCGTACACTTAGCACAACTCATCCAGTTGAGCACGATCGAATGCAAGGAAATTATCACCATGGGCCACGCATTTCCTCTGATTCTATCCCAGTTGTTTGCAGTTGAACCACTTTTACAGGGTTTCCACTCCTCTTTGAGGCTGGCTAAAGTGTTCACCTGATCAGTTACTACAGTGCAGTGGTACCAACTAGTTGGGTACCTCCTTCTCCTGCAGTTACAAGAATATCCGTAGTAGAAAATGAGAATCTTGGGGGAAGGCAGGATAGGAAAGCTTCTSTCAGGATCTAATCTCCCTCACCTGATTTGATTTCCCAACAAGGAATTCGTTCCCATTTGTGGACTAGACTTGTGCAACAACGTAGGTTCAGCTCTGTTTTTAAACAAGAGTGTTGCTTAAACCTTAGCTTAGGATGGTCACTCAKCTGGTGACAGCCGGAGCAGCAGAGGGACAGAGACACCCTGCTCACTCCTACCACAGAGTTAGCTCAAAGACATTTCTTTCTTTGCCTTCCAAATTTYCCCCCATATCCATTGCAAAGATTCCCTTGCCTTGGCCCGCACCACAGAAAGAAGCCATCCCCAGCCAAGAAGCTTACCTTAATACCTGGTTCTCATGAGCCACATTGGAGCAGAAAGATTTATCGGCCTTCTTGGTACCCTCAAGAAAGTCCCTCGCTGACCCTGCCCTGACAACCGCCACCCTCTTGGCTTCATGGTTATCCTTCTTCACATATCTCTGGTGGGTCTCAAAGCACTTGGTGCACAGGAAATCCTTGCACTCGTGGCACCAGAACTCGGCGTCTTTCTTGCAGATGTCACAAAACAAGTCAGCTTGGCTAACGATCTTCCTGTAGATGCTGAGCCTGGCCTGGAGGTTGGTGAAGAGCTTGTTGTCCATGGCAGGGATGCCGCTGGCCTGCGGGATGGTGGTCTGGCACACGGGGCACTGCCCGATGGGCTTCTTTTCGCTGAGACAGTTGAGGCACAAGGTGTGGAGGCAGGTGAGCAGCTTGAGGGTGGGCGATTCCTTCTGGCAGCCCTCGCACAGCACAAACTGGAATTCATCTTCCAGCACCTTGGAAGGCAAAGAAGGAAAGATGGAAGGAGGAAGAGCCACAGGTTGTGAGTGCTGGGGAGGAAAAACTAAAACGCGTACTGTGAAACACCATGCTGGACAATCTGTGAGCGACCACCCCCACGAGGAGCCTAGGGCTGGCCCGTGTGCTGCAGGAGGCTTGGCAGGATGGGGGCCCTGCTGAGGCCAAAAGGACAGTGATCCATCCCATCCAGGCAGCCTCTCAGAGTCCGGTCTTCTATCCACCGCCTCCATCAGGAAGAGACGCTTGGGGACCCTTCAGAAAGGACCTCCGCTCTTCATCCCAAGATGGAGACTTCCTGGTGCCCCACACCCGTCCTCCGCTCCGCAGCRCGGGTTTTGCCCGGGGGGAGTGGCATGGACTGCGCAGCCGGAGCCATCTCGGGGCTGGGGCTCCTTCCTCGTGTCCCCGTGCCTTCCTCCCGGCCTTTCACCCTTCGCATTCCTCCTTCAGCCCTCTGGCAGATGCTGACTCCCTCCCGGGCACGTCAGCCCTCTGCAGAGGGTGGAAGCCCCACGACTTCTACCTCCTCCCCGCCATCCCACCCCACTCCCATCACCTTGGGCAGAGCCTGGCCCTGGCCAGGGGCTCACCTGGGTCTCCAGCGCCGAATCCCACTGCTTTGGGGGCCCTCTTGCAGCCATCGTCAGCGGTGGCTAGAGCTGGTGGCTCTGGGCTTGCCAGCCCAGCTCCCCTGCAGTTCCTTCTTGCTCGGGAGTTTCGGTTTCTCGGGCCTTGGAGGTGACTCCACCTTCGAGTGGGGTGGCGGATGCAGAGCCCTCTCGTGACGGCTCCCAGCCCTGGTACAGAGCCCTGCATGTCCCGGGGCTTCTCCCTCCCAGCAGTTCCGCCTGCCCAGCCCCAAAAGGTTTCTGGTTTTTTTTTTTTTTTTTCCTTCTTTTTTTTTCCCCCTCTGTTGTTATTGCAGCCAGTCTGGGCACGTTAGGGAAAATCCAAGCACAGAAGGTAACGCAGGGCCCTGCTTCCCRCCCTGGGCTGGGGCAAGGCAAGAGCTGGGGCATGGCCACGGATGTGGCAGTGCTGGAGAGGCTCTGCCTCTTCCAGCGGCACATCCCGGAGGAGAGAGCCCTGCTCTGGGTGCTTGTCCCCTCGGGAGAGCGGCTTCTGCCCCGTTTGTGGCCAGCTTTGAGCTCCGGATGCTCTCTGCTCTGCGCACCCCTCACCATGGCATCTGCCCTGGGGAAGGGCACTGTGGGCATCTCTCCCCTGCCGCATCAAGGGGACCACCGCAAAGGCASGACTGCCCTCGAGGCTGTGCCTGGACTGTCAGGCTCGGGGGGAGAYGGGGCGCGGGTGGCACTGCCACCTCCGCGGGCAGCCCCGCTCCGCACGGGCTGCCTGCCCGTGGGCGCAGGGAGGGCTCGCACCAAACGCGCAGCATCCCAGAGGCAGCTCCCTCTGCTCGGGCCTCTGCAGGGGCCAGGAAGCACCAGCATCCGCCTGCAAATGCCCAGGCTCCAGCCCAGCCAACTGGGAACGGGGGGTGAAGGAAGGACAGACAGAGCAGTTCCTTGGCATCGTCCTGCTTGGCCCAGCCCATGCCACCTGCTTGCCAGGCAGCTTGCTCTTGCGAGGATGTCACCAAGGCCTTGGAGAAGAACTTTAGCTGGTGATGTGGCCCGAATGTGGCCATGAGCTGTTAATGTCCTTGTCACCTCCCAGGCCCTGCAGCAGCCCAGAGGTCCCTGCAAGGTGGCAGGACCCASCCGGCTTCTTGGATCACTCGCAGGCTCTGAGAAAACAAGCCCAGYCCTGTGCATGCACTTCTGCTCCTGTAGCTCTGCTCCATCGCATGCTTCTGCTCCCGTAGCTCCGGGTACACCCAGGGCAGCACCTTGCGATACGTCYGTGCTGCTTGCAGATCCGGCGTGATGGATGAGCCCTCTGGAAGCAGCAGCTTGGCACAGGCAGGTCTGCCAAAGGACGAGTCTTTAAAAACACCCCGGGACCGCTTAGCACTGCCTGGAGCTCAGAAATGCTTTAACACGCACACCTCGCAGTGCTTCACACTGTGCCATGGGACCCCGGGGTCTGCAGAGGGGGAAACTGAGGCACCAAGGGATGCAAGGCACGCACAGCCCACCCGGGGCCTGGCACACACCTCATCCGCTCCCCAAATCACCAGACCTTCCTGGCCCCAGGCAAAGCYGCAGAATTGGTTTATTGTCCATCCAGAGCTCATAGAAAGGAAGCTTACAAAATAAATAGATATCTATATATGGCTATATACAGTCCAGGYGCTCCCTGCGGATGGACCTCACAACACGCATGCAAAAGCACTCTGAAGCACACGTTAGCGCAATCGCTTGCAACAGACATCGGTGCCGGGAAGGCCCAGGCCCATGCGGGTGGATCACTCCCTAACCTGCAGCCTCTGCTCCTGCCCCTGGRAACACTGGGGTCAGCCTTGCCGAGCTGGACCTGATCCCAAGCCCATCCAGCCCTGATGGGGTTGTCCCCTTCTGCAGCACCAGCCACCCACACGCTCCTGCCAGTGCCACCCCACTCTCATGACTACTGCTCCATCAAGCCAGTTTGGTTCCAGTGTCCCCACGCTCTTCCCAGTCCAATGCCAATGACCTCCTGCCTCTTCCATATGAGGTCCCCATATGAGGTTCTCATTCCCATCCCTCCTGCCTTTCACACACCTACGAAGACACATGCACACACGGACGCACAGACACACACCCACACACGTGCTCTATCTGCGTTGCTTCATGGCCTTGAGGAGCTCCTCCAGCTTCAGAGCAACGTGCAGGTCGCCCTTCACCTGCAGCCTCCCACTCATATAGGCACTCAAGGGACGAAGTTCACCCAGGAAGAGGTCCTGCAGGTCCTTCTCTGACATCTCCAGGACCACGTCGGGGCTGCCCTCTGGCAATCCGCGCCCAGCTCGCCCGCTGCCTGTAGGACATGGACATGTGGGAGAGGAGGAAACAGCAAGTCTCAGGATGCAGAGCCACCTACTAGGGCTTTCCACCCTCCGGCTTGATAAGACTGAATTGGTGACAACCAGGGTGACTGTCTCCACCCTCAACACCCTCCCTCCCTCAACACGGCAACCCCGCAGAACGAAGAGCAATGACCTGAGGAAAGGTCTATGAAATAGGTGCTCCGGGCTCCGCTTGGCAGGGTGATGTTGACCTGGTAAGATGCTCCCACCTGGCCCACCAAGGGCTCAGAGAGGAAGAGCTCCACGGCTGAGAGCAGCTCATCGGCGCTSGGTTTCCCCCTGGCACTGCCGGTGGCGATGGCAGCAGCGGGCGGCTCCGTCTCGTTCACGGTCTCCACGCTGTCTGCTGGGGACAGGGCACACAAGCCGGGTTCAGGAGAGGCAGGAATTGTTGGATGCCGGCAGGTCAGCTGGATATAGCTGCTCTGCTTGCATCCACAAGCCATTCTACAGCAAAGGTCTCCAGAGCAGAACAACCCTCTTAACAAGCAACTTTGCGGCTAAGCAAGAAGAACACATGGTTTAGCCTGTTCTTACTGCAAGCTCCTTTGTCTGCCATGGATTATTCTCCCCCTACTACCAGCAGGTGGATTTTTTTTCCTCTGAAAGACACAGAAGGTCACAAATGTTGAGAATTTCTGAAAAATGGGCCAGCAGGCCATGTCCTCCTCCAGCCTCCCTCAGATTTCATTTTCCTACTTGCCCTGGAGCCAAAACACCTGAAGAAATAAGATATTTAGCTAAGCCAAAGACCCACAGTTTCAACTCACCTTTTTTTCTCTTAGTTTCAACTTATCTTTTCTTTCTTATTAGAACAAACAAGGAGCCTGAACAAATATGTGGGTCTGCAGATCCTGCCTGATCTTCACAGTGCAATTCAGAGCACTTGGTAAGAAATCTTATTGTGGTTACCTCTGCCAATCTCCTCTTTTCTTTCAAAAGACTTTTTAAACTACTCTCCACCAAACAGGTTGCTCCCCTGGTGTCATTATGAGCAAGACTGTCTCTGAGCCAAATCCCACCCAAATGTTGCCCTCAAACATGAGTATCGGCTATCTGAGAAATTGGTGGCTCTGCCCAAGATCTAAGTTAGCATAGGAGCACATTTGTTCTCCGAGCCTACAGATATATTCCCGTTCTCTCCAGTATCTTATCCAGTGTCTTATTACAAAGTCTGTGTTGTGCTGAATGTTGCACTGAGTTGTACCCTGAACAGTCCTCTCTCCTCTCCCTGCTGGCCTATCTGCACTATGCCAGGGGGAACATCATATCCTGGAGACTTTGACTCTTCCGTAAAGCACCAGTGGATTCAAAGGTCGTTGGAGTGGGGGATGGACACACACTTAACAGCGAAGGGGCAGTGCCGGAGCTGGTTACCTGCCTCTGGGCTGCTGCCGGCACTGCCCGTCAGAGCCAGSGTGTTGCTGAAGAGGTGGGCAGCCAGCTGCTGGATGGTGCTGTCAAGCCCCTCCAGCCCTGGCACCGGTGGCAGGGGACCCATCAGGCTCTCCTGGGGCGGCTGCAGCACGGCCTCCATGGTCAGCTCCACTCGGTCCACCTCCAGGCCCCAGGACTTGGTCATGTCATTAATCTCGAGCTAAGGAGCCAGGAATGGAGCAAGAAGATGTTAGCAGCCCTATCAGGTGCCATCCCCRCTAACAGGCATTTCTTTGTACACCTCTGTCACTGTCTGCTCACCAGGAGCTGTTCCCCGATGCGCAGCTTCTCGGTCTGGATCTCACGAAGGCTCTTCTTCAGCAGGGTCTTGGTCATGGCGTTCTGCGCCGTCATACGGGTGGTGGCGATGAGGTCCTTCACCATCATGACAGACAGCACTGGGTCCCACACCCGGAACTGGACATCAGCGCCCATCGAGATGACAGCACCGTCCTTGGAGGTCAGCTGTGCACAGGAGGGAGTTGATGTTTTCTGAGATGGCTCCAACCAGGAGCATCCACTGAACAAGGTGCACAGAGTCAATAGATGCTTTTCAATCCCAGGCAGGGGTTCACAGCACCACTACCGGCTCCCATCTCCTCACAAGAAAAGACGGAATTGACACTTGTGCCCATGCAAGGAGCCACAGCTCTTCAAAAACTAGCTGCAAAAAGCTGCTCTGGGTGTTTTAGAGACATTTCCGCACCCTGTCCTGAGGCCCCGGGACAGCTCACCTTGCAGGGCGGCACGTTGAAGGCCCTCGTCCTCAGATCCACCCTCTGCCAGTGATCGATGAAGGGGAGCAGCAGGACGATGCCCGGCCCCTGTGGTGCCCGGATGCGGCCCAGGCGGAAGATGATCATGCGCTCGTAGGTGGGCACAATCTGAAAGAGCACATATGGACAAGAACAGCTACAAAGAGGGAAACAAACCTCCAAGGAAAAGCATTGCAACCACTCCATCTCTCCTGACAAGGTGTCCACCAGCACGTACAGATGTTGCCAAGTCAGGGAAAGCTTGCACAGGGTTGCCCTGGGGGCCAGATCAAGCCTGGATGCTGGACCACTGAGCTGCAGTTCGCCACTTGTGGTCCCTGCATCYACCAGGGCACAGGCTGGGGGAGAAGGCCCTGTTGTGATCCACCACAGATCCACAGGGTCATCCAAGAGCAGAGCAGACCCTTGCTGTCTGGATACAGGGCTGCATCGTAAGTAGGGGGACATCTGGGCCAGGTTTTACTGAGCTGCTCCTCTCCTTCTGCCCTTGCCTACCTTCAAGGCAAACCAGCCCGAGATGGGGAAGGTGGCGAGCATCAACAAGAACACCAAGGATGTGATGATCCCGTGGCAGATCCAGGACAGCCAGCCCTGGGTGGAATCTGCAGGGGAAGGAAAGGGAAGGTCAACCCCAGCTCTGGCAACCCTTTCCTGCCCGAAATTCCCAGTGGAGCCTGTGCCTTTCGTGGGTTCCAGTGCTGGCGGGGGGAGCCCGTAGCAGACCTGATGCGCTCAGGACTCACCGGCTGCATTTGAGGGCTCTCCCAGAGGGTCTTGCTTGGATCCAAACGAGAAGAAGCCCTTTTGTGCACCATAGAGTCCGATGCTGGATTGCTGGAAGCGGTCGAAGTCTCCCAAGGGAAGCGCTTGGTATCCCGACCGGCTGAACATGCTGCCCAGGCCCCGGCGCCGGGCGAGGAGCCGGCCTCCGGGCTGCCGGCCCCGCTAAGCCTGGCTCTGCACTGCCATGGGAGCGGCGAGCGCAGCGCCGCTCCGCTCCGACCCCGCTCCGCTCTGCTCCGCGGGCGGCCCTGCCTCGCTCTGCAGCCCCGGGGATGCGCGGGGCGGCGGC